AAAGAGATACATTTCTTTGTCCTCCTCCCTCTTTTAAAAATTATTTTTATATTTTATTTTTTCAACTTCCAAAAAACTAGAATAATCTATGTATTATTGCTGTTCTAGTGTGAATGTGTATGTGTGTATAGATAGATAGATAGATAAATAGATACACATACATATATATCTGCAGTTACAAAGCAAACTGCAGTCTTATCTTGCCAAGCCTGAAGCTTCATGTTGCATTTTGATTTTAATCATAAGCTTTACCATGTTCAGGAAGTCTTAATTATATCCTTTACATCTACAAATACAAGACTCGCTACATAGGAGCTATTTGGGTCAGGTTTTTACCCTACGCTTTGTCTTGAGAACTCATTTTTTGTAATTTACATCAATAAAAATGAATTCTTCCATTAGTTTGGAAGAGAAACTGTACCTCTTCTTACTACTGTCATAAAATCTTAAGTAACATTTAAATGCTTTGATACAACCGTGATTACAAATACATGAATATGTATTATTGTAAGCATGTCTATAGTCTTGAAGGGCATTGAATCACTGTGCTTAAATCACTGTAATTGGACATTCAGTAGTTTTTATTAGGAATGTGTCACATGGAATGGAAAAGAATTTATCTTTTAGATAAAGTATCTTACCTTTTAGTACTTACTGGCAGAATGTGAATACAAAGCAGTTTTTTACTTGGTGTTTTTTTTAATACATGTTCTTTCCAATAGTTCAAAATTCTAGCTCAAAAAAAAGTGTTCACACTTTACTTCAAAATTACCTCCATCATGTGAAACAATCATTTGACTTGGTCACACACTGTGGGCCTGTTAAATAGTGTGTGTGAACTGTTATCTGAACTAAGGTTTGTGATGTTACAACATCTATAAAATGTTATATGAGACTACCTGGTGATTTAAGGATTTTTGAGAAGTTCTGTTAAACTCAGTATTGCACAGTACCTGTAGAGTAGAGGCAGAAAATTAAATATGGTTAAATTATTTAGTTTAGTTTATAATACAAAATCTTAATCTACAACACAAAGCCCCAGTCACAAACAAGTTTGTGTTGGTTTGGTTTTTTTTTTAAATACAGCTTTAAAACCAGAAAGTTAGGTTTTAGAATGATGAATGTTGCTGGGGAGCAAGGTACTTCCTTGTCAAGATTGTCGAAAGTCAAAGCTGACTTTTTTGCCAATAGATCAGACTGTGATTTCCATCATACAAATGGATTTTTTGGTGTTTATTTTTCAGGTCTTGCCTTTATTGTGAAACCATTTGTCATGCAGTCCCAGTTTCAGGGAGAAGAGATGAACAGAGGATAGTTCACAAAACATTATTGAAATTTTTCGTTGATTTAGTAAAAGCTGAAGTAGAGTTTCTTACAAAAAGGTGGGTTTTATAGGATAATACTTTATTATTACTTTTTTACGGTTTCACATGTATTTCTATATCTATAGTGGGTTGTATCCTGATTTTTTTATGTGTCTAGTAAGATACTGTTCTACAGAGATGCAGTTGTTTAGCATTTCCCAATTATGAGTTTGTTTATTGTAATTTTCTAATCATGTTTAAGGCATTTTCACAGCCTGTTATTTCACTATATTACAAGTTTCAGTAAGCATTTAATTTTGCTCATAAATTTGTATTTATAGCTTTGCTTTATGCTTCAGTATTCATTCTTTAAGGTAGACAAGCAGCATTTTCAACATTCGGGGGGTTTTTTTTCTAAATTAAATTAACTCTTATCTTTTGCTAGGGAAACAATGATCTCAGTTTATGAAGTATGAAAAAAGTCTTGGTTTTTCTCTGCCTTTATATAGTAAAGGCAGCCTTTACTTTATGTAATATTAGCAAAATATTAGAATTCCTTCAGTCTGACTGTAAGAGTCATCATTATTTTACTTATTATTCATCATAAATTGTGTCTGATCTTTCCATGCTTAAAAATTGCCAAACCTTTGTGTGTTTTGACAGAAGACAAGGTTTCTGTCTGGTAACTATAGTAATCAAAGTGGCATGAAGATTTAGGTTTTTTCACTGTTTTTTTTTTTTTTTTTTACAGTTTGGTTGATGGGACCAATTCACAGCATCAGCAAGTCAGGCCACAGACAGTTCTTCTGAAGACCTTTTGGCTGAGGGGTGAAACCTCAGTGCTTTTTACCAAACACATAAATATTCTAGCAGATTGGGTCATACTTTCCCACAGAGAATTGAACAGAAAAAATGATGTGAGTATGAATTTTATACTTTAAAATAATGAAGACCGACTTTTTTTTTAAAAAAAAAAAAAGCATTCCTTTGTTCATTCCTTTGTGAGGAATTATATGTAAGTATCACAGCTGCTTGTTATAGCTGCCTTTTGTTGTGAAGCATGCTGGTTTTTGCTCCACTAAAGGAAATGAATTGATCCATAAGATTCTCATATTGATCTGTAGAGAAGAAACGAGTCATGAGTAGCTTGTTGGCTAATTCAGATGTTCACATGCCCTTAGCAGCAGGTATTACTGTAGTCATTAGGGACACCAGCTTAACACATCCTGTCAAACAATAAGGTGCAACGAAAGAGGTGATTATCTTATTTTACAGTGATTGTATTCAGAAAATGTTGGAAGGAGAAAGCTAACAAAACTAATAGTTTTTTGCTGTTTTCAACAGATAGGCATTATTTTATTTTAATAAATGCCCCAGTTTTCTTCCTGGGTCCTTTAGTTTCATTTGGTATGTTCCCTAGGCCTTTTCATAAAAATGGAATTGAAGGCAACTTAATTGCTGTTCTGTGACCTGCTGACCAGCAGGACGTTGACCTGAAAGATACTGAGTGTCCTCTATACCACCTCTTTCTTTTCAGAAGCTAGAGGCCTTGTAAAACATCTTTTGACTTCTAGATTCTCACATAAAATACAAACTTACTGCTGTCTCTGCGTTCTCTTTTAAATTATTGTGAAAGCACAGAATAAATAGGTACTTCATTCACTTTTTCAATACCATAACAGAACAACAATAGAAAATCAAATATTCCAGAGAAAAAAGCACTTTCAATATAATACCTAGTAGTTCTTCATTATGTTAAGAAAGCAGAAAGATTAAACATAATGAGAGCTTCACTCATCTTACCTAGCCAGACCTCCTACCTTTTTTGAGGGCTATCAAAGCAAGACATTCTGAAACAGTGCTGCCTTTTATCCTTGGTCAAGATATTTAAAAAGTGCCTAAAATTAGGCTTCTATACCCATATTTATATTTAAACAACCTACCTTTTCAAAGGTACTGAGCACCAAGCGGGTTTGCATTCAGTGGGTGTCAGTGGCCATTCTGTTTCTTTGGAAAATGAGGCTGCTTTCATATGTTTCCTGGTGTTGAATCTGCAGTTTAAGTGTAGGCACCATTTTCTTTTTTCCTACTATCCCTTCTTTTGACAAGTTCCAGCACTGTAAGCCATACCTTTTTCATAAACCATTCTTTGCATAAGCAGAATAATCACTTGTGTCAGGTAGGGTGTAGTATATATATGAAAAATAAACTTAAAAGAAAGAATCTAAACAAGAGGTAGGTCTCTGTGCTTTATGTTACATTTCATTCTATTTCCTTTATGTACATACATATAAGAATTGTACTTTCAGCACAAAACCCTGATGCCTATTGCTTTCCCACTTTGATCTTTTGCACTGCAATGTACAATATCCCTGCTAGTCTTAAAAAGCAGCTTGTTGCTTCATAGTATCTGTAGTGTTGTATGTTCTTTCTTACAGCCTTATTCTTTAACTTCATAGTTATATATTGCATTTTCTTTCCCTTTGCTTTTTTTTTTTTTCCTTTGGCAAAAATAAACTCTAAAACAAAATACCATATTTTTACACTGAAAACTTGTCATTATCCCTTTCTGTGTTCCTAATTTTATTATACTAAAACTTGATGTACTGATTTTTCCATATATTCAGAGGCTCCACTTAAAATTCCATGAGATAGTTTGAAAAGGTTGTTCAGAAAACCAAAGGAGCAGATCCTTCCCAGCTATGTAGGCAGAACTGTTTTTTCTTCTTCTTTTTTTATTATTATTCTAGAGATGCATAATAAAACCACAATATTTCCATGTCATTAAATATAGCGTATTGGGTGCAAAATTTTCTTTCCTGTTTTCAGTTTAAGAGGGGCAAGAAACACATAAGGCCATGCAGAAACCTATATGAAATAAATGACTTTGGGTGTTTACACAGAAATTTATTACAGAAAATTATTAATTAATTAAATTTATTAATTAATTAAATTAATAAATTAAAATTTATTAGTTTCTTAATTTATTACAGAAATTAAGTGTCTTATAGCACAATGTAAAGGGGTCACCATGTTTCCTAGTTTACACAAGGATGTTAGCTCATGGGAAGAAACAGACATGCCAGATGTGATACACTGTGCAATTCTCCAGTTAAAATATCTGTAAATAAAAACAAATGAATAATTTAGTTAAATTTTTGGGCATATATAAAATGATACTTCTTTTCAAAATGGTGAATGCGGGCAATTTTCTTTTCCTACGTTTTTAGAATCCAGTTACCCTTTTTGTGATTCAAAGAGATGGTAACAAATCAGCACTAGAGTGGAGGGAAAATATCTTTGTATGTTTCCGGTCTTCTAGTGCTGATTTGTTGCAAAATTATTTTTTAATATGTGTGTGCGTGTGTGTATAAAAAGAGCAATCCAGAACCAATTATAGTATTCTAAGTGAGAAAATCCATGCTGAAATTCTGAGTTCATGGTTTCCTTGGCTTGCATACTCTGAAGGTGTTTTAATTTTTCAAACCTATTATAACCTACATCAAAAAAAAAAAAAAAAAAAAGACAGAACGAAGGGCTCTAAAGACTCAGGTTACATATATGAGTGCATTTGCATTCTTGTGTTAGATAAATTTATTTTATCTTAAAAGTGCCAAACTAAAATTAGTGGCAGGAAGTTGGATGCCCTCATTCATCACTATGTTAATCTGCTAGCACAACTTGGTGGAATAAAACTAATACACTGTCCTTGTAGTTAAAAATGCAATGCCAAAGAACATAGAAGTTTTTCCATCACTTGAGATCTTCAAATCAATATTGAATATAATGTTAATAAAATAACATTTATTATTTATTATATTATTTAAATGATTTATTTGATACAGAAACTCCTGGTCAGGGTTTCTTGAAGCAAGGCTGTTAATTCAGTTTTAGAATTTACAAAGGAACATGTATATTGCTCATAATACTTTGAAACACATTCAGGTGTTGCGTGGCTTTTCGTGATGTCACTAATGGTATCAGAAATGCTTTTTCATCCCTGATACTACTGGTGGGTTTTTTTTTAAAAAAAGCTCTCTTACATAGCCTGATAAAGGCGTGAAAAGGGCACTAATTCAATTTTTTAATTGCATTACCTTGCATATTTCTAATTTGTTTTCTTTCATATATCAGGTATCATTACCTGTTATAAATTTGTATGTTGTAAATTTATAGAACTAAATGTCTTTCTGGTCTACCTGTCACTTCCAATAGTGAAGTGGAAGTTTGTGGCACTTGTGGAGTGCTACATAACCCTAAAAACATTTACACCACATGAAATAGAACTCTGGAGAACAACTCTAAAATAACTCTGTAATTCAAAGTAAAAAAAAAAAAGTTAAAATGAATTTTCCTATGACTTAAAAGCATTCCTATAAGAACTTTTATGTGTACTAAAACACACTGTGAAACTTCTGTCACTGTACTTGACTTGGCAAAGCATTAAATGGAACAGCAATGTAGGAATTGCATTTGCTAAGCTGGCAGACATCAGTTGTACTGATGTGACCTTTGTATGCTAACACAGTCAACAGCCTCTTCCCACTTCAATGCTTTTCTCAGTGAGATAGCTTTGATTCTCAACAATAAGAACAAGGAAAAGAGTTTTGAGAAAAGGTTTAACTGGATCTTTCTTCATTTGCTGTGCATGGTGTAATGGGTTGACCCCAGCTGGCAGGTAAGTCCCCACCCAGCCACTCGCTCACCCACCCCACAGTGGGATGAGGGAGAGAATCGGAAGGGCAAAAAGGAGAAAACTCATGGGTTCAGATAAAGGCAGGTTAATAAGGGAAGCAAAGCTGCACGCCGAAGCAGAGCAAAAGAAGGAATTAATTCAGCACTTCCCATCGGCAGGCAGATGTCCAGCCACTTCCTGGAAAGCAGAACTTCCCTTCCTCGGCAAGGGAAACACCGTGACCCCAAACGTCCCCTCTTCCTCCTCCTTTCCCCAGTTTTTATTGCTGAGCATGACATTTCTAATGGCATGGAATATCCCTTTGGTCGTTCTGGGTGGGCTGTCCTGGCTGTGCCCCCTCCCAGCTCCTTGCACACGCCCTTGGGGTTGTCATACATGGTACCAATTCCCATGTTTAATGGAAATGCTTCCTTCTTTTTCCTTTTTAATATTGCTTGTGTTTTCATTACTATATTTGTGTTGTTTCATGGTTGGAAATGAAAATATTTTTAAGATGTTAATATTTAAATATTTTTACAGCAGATGATATTTTCAGTAAATAAGAGCACTTCCCCTTCATTTGTGGCACTGAACCATTTATTTCAAAATATTAAGGAGAAGCTCTAGGTTTGTGCTAATGTTATTGCTGATGTTTACCAAAACATCAACCAAGCCTACACCAGTTGGTGGCATCTGGTTTGTCTTTGTCAGTATGCAGAGATACTTAGCTAAGCAAACGTACTTGCAACTAGTGTATCAGCCACATTTAATATGCAGCTATAGATCTGACTACAAAACATTATTAATACTTGTATTAACAGTCATTATTTCAATCTGCTGCCTCAAGGTCAGCTTTTGCTCGCCACTCCTTTCCTTGAAAATATTTCGTAGGTAAAGTAACACAAGCTTGTGGTTTAGAAACAAGAAAGAGAATATAAATACTTGTACTTTATATCTGTATCTACCTCAGATTACATCTGTGTGTCCTTGATCCTGTCACTTACCTCTGTTAAAATTGTGCTTGTTTGCTGCATTTCTGTAATTTATTTCTTGCACAGAACTATTGATGGAATTAAATTATTCACCCAGTATTTTGCTTTGGGACCCAATGATAAAAGAGGTATGCATACTTAAGGAAAATTTAAATGCATTTCAGATGTTTTAAATTAGTCAGTTTCTATTCCTGAATCCTCAGAAGATAGGGAGTAATGGAGCTTTTGAAATATTTTAATTTCAGTTGAAAAAAAAAAAAAAATCATGTTGCTGACATGCTATATCAATGTTCTCAGGTTTTTTTATTATCAGATCCCACAGTTCATCTACAATAAATCATAGAATCATAGAATGGTTTGGGTTGGAAGGGACCTTAAAGATCAGCCAGTCCCAACCCCCCTGCCAGCAGCAGGGACACCTTCCACTAGACCAGGTTGCTCAAAGCCTCATCCAACCTGGCCTTCAACACTTCCAGGGAGGAGCAGCCACAACTTCCTTGGGCAACCTGTTCCAGTGTCTGACCACCCTCACAGTGAAGAACTTCTTCCTAATATCTCATCTAAACCTCCCCTCTTTCAGCTTAAACCCATTTCCCCTTGTTCTGTCATTAACTGCCCTTATGAAAAGTCCTTCCCCAGCTTTCTTGTAGCCCCTTCAGGTACTGGGAGGCCACTATAAGATCTCCCCGGAATAGTGATACACTGAAGGAAGGGGCAAACCTAATCAAGTAGAGCTTAGCAGAGTAAGAGGAAGTAGGGCTGGAAGCGATCTCAGAGATGACATTCCTAACAGCTTTTTTTCTGGCTGCTTCTTAAAATCCTTCAGTCGTGTGGATTATACTGCTTCCCCACACAATGTTTATTTGTAGTTGTGTTTATTCCTTTTCTATTTAAAGACAAGTCAGTCTGTTAACTGTGGGGACAGTATTTATGTAGGTTTTTGACAAATTACTTTGTAATCTTTTTATAATCAATCTCATCTGTGTCATAGTCTCTGTTGCTCTTATATATGTCTGTTTGATTTATTGATGAAGCTCAAACTATTTCAGCCTATGGTGCTTTCTAGCTCCTGAGGGAACCCTATTAAATTATTTTAAACCAACCTGGAACATACTTTGTTCTCAAAGGAGTATCAGACAAACCATTGACTGTGGTGTGAGAGCACAATAAAAAGACAGAAAAGTTTTGCTTCCCTTAAGTAATTCTTTAAAATCTCTAACTGACAAGTAAGTACATACTCAGTCCAACTTCACTCTTATCCAAAACTGGCATACAAATATGGAATTTTCTGTGCTTGCACACATGGTCAGAGGAATAACTTCGTTCGGAATCACTGCATAAAATATTTCTACATGGCACGGAAAGGTGTTGAGTAGATCGAACTTTCCTTTGCACGGACTAACTCAGACACTAGAAGCACTGCTTTACCCAACCAATACTGATGGATTGAAGTGCTCATGTGGGTGAAAAAATATGTTCATCTGTCTCATGGTACTTTCTGGATAGCATATTAAAATGCTGTATATTGTCTTGATGCCTCCTGAAGAAAATACAGTTTGGCTTTTTTTATCTACCCATGACCATTTTGTAGAGGTTCAGGGGAGAAAAAGGTAAGGGTAATACCCGTAAGTATGTTCTTTCTAAATTTGCCTCTACTAATGTCTTTGGAATTTTTGGTAGCAGAAGGAAGTTTCCTGATCCCACAAAAAACCAAAGTTTTTTCTGTGTAGGAAACTAACACCTTGCATTCTTTCCCCTTTTGGCACAGACATCTAGAAAAAGAGAATCCTAATAGAATGGGGAGAACAAGAGCCCTCTAATTGTCAAATGAAACACAAGATTAACTATCAGAAATGCAATACTTGAAATCTTACATTTAATTTGAAAAGAAATCACACTTGGTACTTCTAAGTTTTGATCCCATTTTGCATGTTGTTTTAGACAGTAGGTTTTCAAATAACTCCTATTTCTCCAGTGACAAATCTTAATTGATTTGGCATCAATGGCATATTAATTTTGTTGACCTGGCTGCAACAATTGGCTTTTGAGCAATAAAAGAAAAGCCAGTGAAAAAGTGATCTGGCAACAGAGTGGACTTTTATCTAAAGAAGTTCTCTAGTGTTATTACTGGTACATTATCAGTGTGAATTTGTTATACAGTACAGTTCTATAGATACTCTTTCTTTTTTTTTTCTATTTAGATTTTCATGCATGAAATAGCTGGTCTGTTAAATGAAATTCTTGGGACTGTAGTGGAATATTGGATCATCTCAAGTTTGCATATGGACAGAAACATGTTTCATCAAATAGCTGATGATTTGGCACGGTACATTGCCATTTCATGTGATGGTGAGTGTTTGAAATGCCTCTCACAGTCTTTTAACCTGGTATACTAAAGTGCTAACTAAAATCTTCATTTTACATTCAAGAGGTATTTTACTTTCTCTTGCAGCTGTGCAGTCTTAGGGTGTGATGTGTGCATATGCAGGGAAATGTGTTTTATTGTTTCTGTCTGTCCCAGGCAAAGACTAAGTAGAACAGGCTTTCCTATAAAAATCTCTCTACATAAATCTCAGTAGATGGTAATGCAAAAGCAAGACTACACAGCATGAAGAAGAAGAAAAAATCCTTGGAGCTCTCTTGTCAGTTTGGGAGGAGCTTTAAGTGGATCATAATAAGCCATAACTGGAGAGACAATTGGAGACACCTTAGTTTAGGCCAATTCTCGGGTAAAACTTTTCATTCCACAAACCTGATCTTGTTTGCTACAGACACTTCAGCCGTAAGTCCAAAAGCTACACTGAACTCTTTGACCCATACAGACTTCAAATGAAACATTTCAGGGTCTCCAAATCCTTAGACTTAATGGAATTTATTTGGGGAGTGGGGCAAAATTCCAACTGGTTCCATGAGTCCTCTTCATTAAATGTACTAGATAAAGAGAAATGCCACCAGTCAAATGAACCGTTATCTTTTAACATGGAATGTAGGTTGAGGTGTCTGTTAATTTAGCATCTAGGGGACAAGGAACTCAAAAGACAAAAAAAACCCAAAATCTCAAGAAAACTACTGAATGTTTTTAATTTAATTTTCAAACTTAATTCCCACCAAAGCTTTCCTTCCACCTCCAATTAGTAAATAGCAGGAAAACTGTAACTCAGCTGTTAGGCCTGTACAGATATCCTGGTTTCAGTCATCATTTTATCTGTAGTTGTATGTAGGCTTCATTTAAAGTGCTGCTGCCTTCTACCTGGACACTTGAGAAGAACTATCCTGAAAAAAATTAAATTAAAATCTTAGTCTCTAGATAAATAGTTCCACTCCAGTCTTACAGAAAACAAATTATCAGAACCGTTATAGCCTGCATTAGATCTTTGAAAGACAAATCAGTTGGAACTTTATAGTGTTTAAATCAATGGAGCTTTTAGTATCTACTACTGTTACTGAAGATTTTTCTAGCTTTAATATAATAGGGAGAATCTTGGGTATATATTTCTGTAAGATTTTCTTACTTTCCTGTACACAAATGGAAAATTACACTTTCTATGCTACCCTTCAGCAAGTGTATTCACAAGAACAGCATTCACACGCTGGTTATAAAAAGTAAAAGATTCTCTAACCTATTGGTGATCACTGCTGCTCAGTTCAGTCCACAGCACTTAAAGCCCAAAAAACTGTTGCAGAATTATCCTAAATTCTGTCACTCTTAGAGTAGAAAACATTTGTACTCTCAAAACTTGGCTTTCTATTTTGATTGAGTCTACAGATCAGTTAATGTACGAGCACTTCTCAGCAGAGTATCCTTTTCCAAAATGAAATAAGAGAGGTAGGACAGGCATGTGCCTGATATATATTGAGACAGAAATAGATATATATTCTTCTGCCACTGTTTTTTTTAAAACAGCATGAACCATTTGGTACATCTGAATGGAATTGAAATTTGCTTAATGTCACGTTTAATGTAGGATTTATAGGTCACCCTGCATGACTTGCAGACTTCTTTGTTCATGTGTTATACAGTCTATCTGAACTGTGTTTGTATTATGTCACTTACAGATTTTAATCACTTGCGTAACTTCACAAATTAATAATTTCATTCTCAATATCAAGGTGTAACTTTTATGAAATTGTATTTAGAGTAGGTTTTTTTGAATTTTCACATATAAAGTTGTGTTTGCCTTTTAAAATCTGATGACCATTCTCTTAGAAGCTGGTCTTACTACCAGATGATGGATAAAATCTTTTTTAATATGAGTATTTTTAGTAATTCTCATGGGGAATAACTTATGAATCTACAACAGCAGGAGAAAAAAAAGTCTGGAAGAGCTACCTCTAGATATACAGGTTTGTATATTTTCGTTTTAAAGCTCTTTTTTTTTTTCCTTTGCTTTTATCTAGATTTTTCAATATGTGAATTAAAAATGTTCATTTGTTCCATATCATCCCTCTGGCTTCAAATGTTTGTCGCAGAAGCAGTTTTTAAAAAAATGTGTTTAGAGTGGAATATAACTATTTCTACAGAACCTCTTTCTCTTCAGAAAATAGTAAGTAACTCTTCTACTCCTTACTCCTTAATAACCTATCACACTTAAGTATTTTACAAGTAATTGGATTCATTAAAGTCTTGAAAAATGTCTTTCTTTTGTGGTCTAAGGTCATGCTCATTGCATGTCTTGACTTACACCTGTGGACATTTAAATGTGCATTTAAATGTATTTTTACCCAACATCTGAGTTCAAAACAATGGTAAGATTTTTTTTTTTTTTTGCCAGAGAATTTGTAACATGTGATTAATCTGTTTACATGCAGTTAAGAGGAAATGTCACAATGAAAGCTTTTTAAAATAATCTCTGATGTAAATACTTTATGGTAATATTAAATTTGTGATTAAGGAAAATGCCAAATATAGTGTGATTTTCCTGGGATATATTTTCCTTCAGGTTTTTTTGAAGAGTTGACAGTCTTTTATTCTACTGGGTCCAAACATTTGTTACGTACAAGATTTTATTACTCTGAACCACAGCGTATTCCTGTGAATTTCTCCCCTTAAAAACTTTTTCCTACTTGCAAACCTTTTCCTGCCTTCAAGTCACAATTTGTGGTAGCTGATGAGGAAATACATAATGAACACTGTGAAAGGAGTTCTCAAAACCATGGCTGCTGGCAGGATGCAGGCAAATCAGGGATATCACACAGTAATAACATGCCCTAACATAAGCCTCATTTCCGTAATGTTAATACTAACAACTATTCAGAATATGGAATCCATAACTGTTTCTATATGGCCTAAAATTCTACAGGTAGAGTCAAAGAAAAACAAATTTATACTTTTATACATTTTTCCATACATACGTTTTCCTGAATTTTACAGTATTTTATTGTGAACAGAGATCATTGTTTATTAATACATCATGTTCAAACAGAGCTCGAACAAAAGACTGTCAGAATTTTAAAAATAAGCCAACTATATATCTAATATTTAATGTATGTTGCCAACACATATGCAGCAGCAATTGCTATTTTTAGTATTGCCATGACTACTGATCACTCTCTGCAACTACTTAAATGTAAATTTTTGTAGCGCTTGCAACAAATTCATGTGCTTTTTGTGTCTTTCCTTAGCATTACTGTTCTTCCTTTCTCATTCCATACAATAAATAGTAACTGTTGTCCAATTTTGCCAGCTGTACTCGTAACAGCATGGTATCTACTGGGCTTTTCTTTGGGTTCAAGTAGGGCCCTCCTAGTCTCTGGTGATAAATGCACAGTGAGGGTGCACATAAGGTGTCCCTCACCTGTTGCAAGTTGCCTACAGAGTCTCCAGTGATCTGCTAGATACTCAAAACCTTCTTTAATATCTTTATTATATTATATT